AAGCTGGACAATGAGTAAGGAAGACAGAAGAATTGACATCTTTGAATTATGGTGTTGGTAAAGAATACTGAATATACCACAGACTGCCAGAAAAAGGAAAAAATCTGTCTTGGAAAACATACAGCTAGAATGCTCCTTAGAAGCAGGGATGGCGAGATCTCGTCTCACATACTTTGGACATGTTATCAGGAAGGACCAGTCCTGGAAGAGGAACATTATGCTTGGTAGAGTAGAGGATTAGCCAAAAAGAGGAAGATCGTCTATGAGACGGATTGACACACTGTCTGCAACAATGGGCTCAAACATAGCAACGATTATGAGGATGGCGCAGGGCAGGGCAAGGCAGCGATTCATTCTTTTGTACACAGGGTCACTATGAGTCAGAACATAGTAGATGACACCTGTCAAGGATTGAATTGTTAATTGTTACCTTCTCTTAATTAAAGCCATCCACTTGTGGTATCTCTGTTATAGCAGCACTAGATGACTAGGACAGAATTTGGTACTGGGAGTGTGATGCTACTCTAAGATACCTAAAATGTGGAAGTGATTTTGAAACTGTGAATGGATAGAGTGGCAACGCCAGAGGACCAGCAGCAGCAGAGAACCTGCAGCAGAAGAACCAGGAGACCAGCGCAAGCCGACCTACGGAGCGAGAGAGCTGAAGTGCCTGTGCGCCAGAGGCTTCCTGGCGGAGTAGGGTGCTTCTGGGGACTTATCGGTGGAGCTAGGCTTGCTGACCCACTGAGTAAGGGAGCTGACTGCCTGTGCGCAGGAGGCTTTCCGGCAGAGTTGAGTGCCTCCAGGTACTTACCAGTGGAGCTACAGAGCTTTGGAACACTCGCCCCAGCAGGGCAGATGCGGGCACGAGGCCCAAGGAGCCGAGAGGCCACGGAACCAGAAAACAGAAGCTGAAGAGACAAGGAACACAAGAAGCTGAGCTACCTCAGTCTCAAAAGGAATAGTCAGGAACTCAGGGGTTTCAAGGGGTAAAGCCATGGTCTCTGGTGTTTCTAAGGGTGGAGCTGCCACTCAGATGGACTAGAATGGTGCACTTAAAGCCGAGGGAGCAGAGCTGCTGTCCCAGTGGGCTTGGAAAGCTAGCTGAAGCCCAGGGCTGAGGCGTCTCCACTCAGAAGCTGGAGAGCATGGCCAATACCTAGAGTCTGGAGGGCAGGGCCATTGTATAAATGGTCTCAGAAAACAGAGAATTATTATCAAACCTTGACGGCTAATGTAATTTGTTCTGCCAACTTGCTTGATGCCTGTTATACCTTCTTTCCCTGCAATTTCTCCCATTTGTAATGGAAATGTCTAGCTTGTGCCTGTTCTGCCATTGTACCCTTAGAAACAAATAACCCGTATTCCAGATTTCACAGACAAAAAGAAATTTTTCGATTTTGGACTTGGAGTTGATTTCAGACTTCTTCTATGATATGATGGGGTGAATTTGTTTTACATGTGGCAAGGGCATGAATTTTGGGGGACCAAAGCATGGAATGCCATGGATTGAATTGTGTCCCCCCAAAATATCTGTCAACTTGACTGGGTCATGATTCCCAGCATTGTATGATTGTGTACCATTTTGTAATCTGATGTGATTTCCTAACGTGTTGTAAACTCTATCACTATGATGTAATAAGATGGATTAGTGGCAGTTATACTGATGAGGTCTACAAGATTAGATAGCATCTTAAGCCAATCTCTTTTGAGATTTAAAAGAGAGAAGCGAGCAGAGATACATGGGAACCTCATACCACCAAGAAAGCAGTGCCAGAAGCACAGCGTGTCATTTGGACCTGAGTTTCCTGCGCTGAGACACTCCCAGACCAAGGACAGACTGATGACAAGGACCTTCTTCTGGAGCTGACAGACAGAGAAGACCTTTCCCTGGAGCTGATGCCCTGAATTTGGACGTGTAGCCTACTAGACTGTGAGAGAATAAATTTCTTTGTTAAAGCCATCCACTTGTGGTATCTCTGTTATAGCAGCACTAGATGACTAAGATAGCACCTAACAATAACACAGTAACCAAAAGAAGAATTAAAAATAAGAAGTAAAATGTGGGAGAAGGAAAGTAGGTGAAGTAGATAAGCTAATCCACATCATCTATATTAGGGTATCAGTAAATACTGTCTAAAATTGATGTACCAAGAAATAAAGATACATTTAAAGTTATGGATGTGAAAACCACTGGAAGAAATAACAGAAATGGCTAAGAGGTCGGGAAGGGACTAGGAGTGAGGAAGGATAGGAACGAAGTCTACTGCTTTGTATGAAATGTTCTTATGTTCCACATACAGGAAAGAGATAGCTCTCATCATAATTAACACTATAAATAGCCTTGCTAAAACAAAGATTAATATATTAATATCCCTACTTATTTTCCCAAATGAAGACCGTGGAGAGAAACAGTACAAATAGCCTGTTCCTTTTGGGGAAGCACAGGGGAAGGATTTGTTCAACCTGTGTGCTCCCACAGTACTCTGGACTTCCCTATTATTGTTGTTGTTAGGTGCCATCAGGTAGGTTCCTACTCATAGCGACCTCATGTACAATAAAATGAAACACTGCCCGGTCCTGCGCCATGCTCATGATTGTTGTTATGCTTGAGCCCATTGTTGCAGCCACTATGTCAATTCATCTCGTTGAGGGTATTCCTCTTTTTCGCTGACCCTCTACCTTACCAAGCATGATGTCCTTCTCCAGGGACTGGGTCCTCCTGATAACATGTCCCAAGTATGTGAGACAAAGTCTCGCCATCCTGCTTCTAAAGAGAACTAGGCTATACTTCTTCCAAGACAAGTTTGTTCATTCTTTTGGCTCTCCATGGTATATTCAATATTCTTCACTAACACCAAAATTCGAAGGTGTCAGTTCTTCTTCAGTCTTCCTTATTCATTGCCCAGCTTTCATAGGCATATGAGGCAACTGAAACCAAACTGTACCATAATTACTCATGCCTGCCTTCCCTGGCGGTTGTGAAAGAATATTATCTGACAGGAGTTGTATTTTATGTTTCTTCTATTCTCCCAAGTACCCAGCATAGTGCACACATAGCAAGTAACAGGCAGTTGGTGCATATTTGTTGAGCGAATAGGTGTTTATTAAGCTCTTAGCACTTTTGGGGAGGGGGAAACAAGTAAGAATTCTTTGAACTAAGTTTAAAGTCCAGCGCCATTATTAAGCTCACAATATCGCAGGTTTTGTCCATTTCTACAGGAGAGTCAATATATTTTCCTTCTTAGGAAAAGCAGATGGCAAAAACACTAGTTGATGTTATCTAACATTTCCAAACTTGTTTCAAGCAAATAACTTCTGCCTTAAATATTGTTACACGGGAAAGAGTTAAATTGCCAGGATAACTCAAACTTAAAATATACAGGGAATCTAGCAAGAACTGCCACCCAGGGGAGCTCACTGAAATACTATCTTATCTAATAATGTTTCTCTGACAGCTTGGACTTATAGGAGGAAATGGAAGCATTTTCCTTAACTTTACAGAAAAGGTTTCACAATTACTAAAATAACAACCACCACACTATGTACTGTACACAGCTCTCAGTGCTTTGCACACGCTGCCCCACTGGATCTGTAAAAGAATCCCATGAAGTAGGTATATTTTCCATGATTTTCAGAGGAGGAAATGGGGCAAAAGGAACTAGTTCGAGGTCACACTGCAGTCTGGAATCCAGGCAGTCTGGCTACAATAAAGTCTTGGTTTCTCACCTGCCGATGGGTAAGGCGTTGCGGATGATCCTCTGGCTGCCTCGGGTGTATTCAATATCTACTGTGATGGGGGCAGAGTATGTCATGTCCCTCAAACGGCACTGGAATTGAGACAGATAGTTACTGCTCCTCCTCTCCGGAAAAGGGGCCTGACAACTTTAAAGAGCTCTGTCTCTAGTGGAAGTCCAAAGAAGAATGGCCCATGCTGAACTTCCTCTCTCCTCCACTGAGCTGCTCCACTGCTGCCTCAGGACATGGGGAGGGACTGGCCTACCACTCCGTGAGCAAAATGATGCCATGGATTGATCAAGGCATCTCCACAGCACTTCTGCCCCTGCCAGCCCAGAAGCAGAACAATAAGCCTGGCACTGATTTTTATCTCACCAATCCAGTGATGCTATCACTAGTCTGCTCCCATATCTTTAAAGCAATTAAACTGCTCTGTGCAAACTGGGTCTATGGAAAACAATCTGAGACCAGGGTTGTTGGTTGAAACAGTTAACAACCAGTATATAATAATTATATATACACACACACACACACAGTCAGGGCCTGCTGTGACTCCCATGACTGCCCACCCACCCACCTGCTCTCCTATTCTCCCTGTCTCTCCAAGAATCAAAATCCCTCTAAGAAATCTTTGGGTACTCTCTGCCTAACACAGTGCCTGGCTGATCCTTGAAAAATGTGCTCAGTAAGTGAATCTGCAATGGACTGGGCACTGTGCTAGGCATAAGAGGGGGAGGTGGAAAAAGCTCAGAATCAGGACTTAAATACGATACAGTTACATAACAGTGTAAGCTAATTAGGGTTAAATGACAAAATAAATAGTACAGAATTGTTCCCTAATGTAGTATAGTATTAAAACTAAAGACTCGCTGCTGTCAAGTTGACTCCAACTCATAGTGACCCTATAGGATAGCAGAGAATTGCCCCATAGGGTTTCCAAGGCTGTAATCTTTATGGAAGCAGACTGCCACATCTTGCTTCCACAGAGTGGCTGGTGGGTTCAAATCGCCCACCTTTTGGTTAGCTACCAAGCGCTCTTACCACGGCATCACCAAAGCTCCTTAAAATAGTATTAAAGAGTAATTATTTATTTTGGTTATGTTTGTCTCATAAGAGATTTTTCTTCTCGTTTTTAAATAATCTTTTCAAAGTATACATTAAGGCACAGACTTTTAGTTAAGGCAAATAAATCTAATTAAAATAAAGGTTTATAATTACCTCATGAGGCGACACTGGTCTAGTTACATTGAAGCTTTCTTCAACATCAGGAAGCCCAACATAGATATTAAGATATCTGAAAAGCAAATTATTCCATTACCAATTATTACACTTCTTCGAAGAAATATAAACAAGGTCTTTTCCTAACAAAAATAAGGATTATGCTTTGACAAAGGTTTATCTTGTTAAGGATGACAAACAAATTAAAAAGTATAATTAGAGATCTTCTTGAAGTGACGTATACAGCTTTTATAAAGGAGGGAATATAATATCAAATTCTTTTTTAAAAACACTTAAATTTCTTTAAAAAGAAAAAACACTTAAATTTCTTTATAAAAATATTGGAAGTATAGCTCCTTAAAAATGATACTTAATAAAAAATGCAAAGGGCAAAAGAGTATGTATAGTATGTGTACTGAGTTGAATAATGTTGTTGTTAGGTGCCATCAAGTCCATTCCAACTCATACCGACCCTATGTACAACAGAACGAAACACTGACCATCCTCACAATCGTTGCTATGTTTGTTGAATAGTGTCTCCCCAAAATTCATGTCCACCAGGAATCTCAGAATGTGACCTTATTTGGAAATAGGATCTTTGCAGATGTAATTAAGTTAGGGTGGGCCCTAAATCCAGTAACTAAGGAGAGGATACAGAAAGACACAGAGAAAAAGGCTATATGAAGACGGAGGCAGAGAATGGAGTGATGCACCCACAAGCCAAGGAATGCCAGGAGCCATGAGAAGCTGGAAGAGTCCAGGAAGGTTTCTCCTCTAGAGCCTTTGGAGGGAGTGTGATGCTACCAGCACCCTTGGTTTCAGACTTTCGGCCTCTAGAACTATAAGAGAATAAATTTCTGTTGTTTTAAGTAAGCAAGTTAGTGGTAATTCGTTATGGCAGACCTAGGAAACTAATAAAAAATGTTATCATTCATGTAAGAAAGAAGAGAACATAAGAGGGGAAAAATTTATCTATCCACTCATTTGTGCAAAAGACAGAAAAGATACAGCAGAAACTAATGAGATTGGTTACCCACAGGCAGTGGCTGGGAATAGGGTGAAAAGAATTCTCCCCAAACTGGGGCAATCTGAGCAATAGTACTGGACTATAACCATAGTAAAACAAATGTCTATGAGTCTATAATGACATAGAGAGCTAAAGATGGATGGATGGATGGATAGATGGATGGACAGGAGAGAAGGGAAAGCTCTTCCTTATAGTAGAATTCCAACTAATAAATGTAGAAGGAACAATCGAAGTCGAGACTCACACACCACAGTAATAAATAGTACAGGTAAGGTCTGTCAATGTAAACTAAAATTAGTGGGTGAAGGTATGAGGAGAGAAACAGGATGGCTGCACAGTGGCAAAGAACCTGCCCATAAGATACTTATTTAGTATACAAGGAAAAACAGTAACTTTACAGTGGAAAAACCTAGAAGATTCTATCTTAACCAAATGAACAAGGTTAAAATCACCAGTAATGAAAGATTTATCGACATCCGTACCCACGATTTGATACACTGAGAACAACACATCATCACTTCAGTAGTTTTCTTACCAAAAATGCATAACCTCAATCTAATCATGAGCAAACATCAGACAAGCCCAAACTGAAGGGGCTTCTACAAAATAACTGAACAGTAGGCTTCAAAAGTGTCAAGATCATGAAAGACGATGAAAGACTGAGGAACCATCACAGATTGGAGGAGACTAAGGAGACATGACAACTAAATAAAATGTGGGATCCTGGATTGAATCTTGGACCAGAAAAAAAAAAAAAAAA